TGCATCAATGCGGATGTAAATGTCGTTCGCGCACCGGTACTTACCCTGACCGTTGTGTGACGCAGCAGATTTATCACGTCAATTATCACGGTAGAAAAAAAAAATACTCACTTGCAAGGGTTAGGGTTAGGGTCAGTGTGGGAGGGGGCAAAAGCACAGACAAGCGTAGGTAGGAAAGCGCTTTAAAGGCCCAAAGCGAATCATCTTGCTTTCGGTTTAGCAAATACCTGTCTTGATAAGCCTCTCTCCACCTCTGTTCAGTCACTGTTTTTTCCTCTTCTTCCGGGTTACACCGTTACCAATGTGTTTCTCTCCCCTGTGTTTCGTTTCGTTTCCTTTCCTTTCCTTTCTATTCGTCCTTTATCGTCGGTTTCTTACAAGTCGAATGCAGTACTACAATTGATTGGGTATATGGTATGATACGAGAGCGTATCGTATACCAACACCAAGTAGTTGTTGGGGGGGGCAGTATTAGTATCATTAATTTCGCAAAATGGAAATTCATTGCGCAAACATTTCTGCGGAACAGGAATAATCACATTCACTGATATACGTACGATCAACCCCTAAATTTTTACGAAAAAAACCCCAACTCTTTGTTGCACATATTGTTCAATGAAACTTTTAAGACACATCTTACATTTACGAAACTGGATAAACCGATATACGCTATATTTGCATAATAAGGTAGTGGTAAATGGTGCTCTATTACCATTCATTACGGATTTGCCGAAAAAACAAACAAACGAACAATCATTATGATGACCTGTATGTTTATTCATTGAAATACGAACGACAATAAAGTTCGACAAAGAAAGGGTTTCATGTGTTTTATCAGTATAAAAAATTTTAGGGTGTTTGTATAATTTTGGCAGTTGGGTGTGCATTGACATATGACATTGTTGGATACGTTGGGTAACATACGTGGACATTTGGGGTTGGCATTGAATTGTGGATACCGAAACACTGTGAAAAAATTCGATCCACAGAATTTCAAGGGTTCGGCTTTGATCGACCTTTTCATTTTCTGATTTACAAAAGCGATTAATATTAATCACATATATTTAATTTGGCTCGATACGTTGGGACTGGTACATGAACCTATTCCTATTCTTGTTTATAAAGAATTTTAACACTTTTTGACGTCAAAAAAAAAACATATTATATTTTGTTTCAAGGCAGCCGTTTTTAGAGCTAATATTCACGAGTCAACTCGATCCATAGGCTTTTAATGTAATTTGCAGGCCTTTAACGTAACTTTGCCGTAACTTTGCAAGCTATTACTTTTTCATATGCATAACTATGCAACCTATCTATCCTCTCTGTCTTGTTGTAATCGGGAATGTTTATTTAAACTGCCTGGTCTTTAGCGAGTAAGTAAAAGTTGTTCGTGATGACTATTTACAAAAAAAAAAAAAAAAGGTTTCAAGACAAATTTTTAAAAATTGGCGTGTTATAAACATATCACAGGCGTATGAACGACGTCTGTTGTCATCTCGGACTCGACAAGCGTGGAACATTTGTGAGTCATACATAACAATAGTAATTACACAATCTACTTTTCAAAATGTGCCATAGTTTACTTTAACGGAATAGAGAGCTCCGTGTTTGCTTTTTACTAATTGTGGTGCATTTACGTAATTATGCGGGACATTATCATAATAGATTCTTTGTTACTTAACAAAGAGAACATTATAATTTTTCCATGCAAACGTCAACTGCGACATCGAAACCATTTCTTCTTATGATTGCTATGACGCAATTAAGCATTTCAGCTTTCAATACAAATGTTTCACTGTCCTCAGAATCCATGTCGGAAAAACTGTCGCTGGGCGAAAATGGGTTTTATTTTTATGGAACAACGATTGTGGCAAAATGTTTATCGAAGATCCTGGGCGTATTCATTATGGAAGTCGATATACCGAAACATTTTTATGATTGCTAATCGCTTCCCTTTTTCAGAATTTCAGGAATTCGTGATCATCAAATGGCAACAGCAAAAAAGCATAGGGGAAAGCTCCGGTCAGTGATGGTAACATGCGTTTTCGCCTATGTTAGTCATCCCCCGTTTTGCGCGGTAGAGGCTTGCGTGGGAAGTTTATTTGCAAGAGACTCCGCGGTAAAGTTCCTGGCCGATTTTAAATTGTGAATTAGCAATAAATGTTTTTCTACAACTTTTCTGTGTTGGAAATAACACAAGTTTTGTATATTGTTTATTACTTTTAAACTTTTTGACCATTACATCAGTTCATATGGCGCATGACTCATGAATTTCACCGTTGGGCCAAGTCTAACGATTTTTAATAAAGGGCGAATTCTCACATGACATAAAAAAGTCTTTACATATCCGATAGTGAATGATATAAATTTATGATACGCCATATCTGCATGAGGCGCACAAGATATCAGAAATAATTGTTACTCATTGGATTTATATTGATAGTGTAATTTGATTACTGTTAACATAATTGTTTATTATATAACCATATTGGCTGCGATGCTAACCCTATCGAGTCCCCTTGAACTCTTTCGGTGCACCCTCCCTAATTTTATCTAAACGTTAACAATACATAGCCTACTATATTGTTTTTTTTAGACTCGAAAAAAATAAGAATAGAACGAGAAACATGTTTCGTTGATTAAAGGTTCAAAACTATTGCCCTTGTTACGGAAATACGCTTTCGTAAGGTTACTGTCACCAAGAAAATAAATAATTGTCGCAATAACTTGTACAAAAGTCAATTACGTTGATGTTAAATAACCACATCATGATGGACGAATTGTTTGAAAAATGTAATTTGTAATTCTCGTATTGTAAAGCTGTTATTTATAGACCAGAGTTGTTGTGTTTTATTTATTTTTTTTTGAGAAATTAATGTTTGTTATGGCCGGCAGTTAAACTGCTACTCGATAAGGAATATACCAAATCTACCACACAATTACTGTTAGAATATGTGAATAAAATAACACACTGTTCGCACGAGTATACACTCGTACTTTTTTCTTTTTTTGTTATCCAAATTTGTAATCAACATGCATGTAAGCATGTAGCTTGTAGCATATAGACATTTTTATTGCAGTCGTTTATACGTCGATTTAAAACCGAGGAATTACAAAGTTTACGAGAACTACTTTGAATTGCACTAAACTATTGCGCAATTAATTTTCAAACAATTGTTATCAAAAGCTGAATATGTTGTTAAAATACGATGCGTTATTAAAAAGCTTAATGATATTGATTGATGTTGCTGTATTAATATTACGCACCGTTATAAAAATCCGTCACCTGCAAAGACGGCAATTACGCATAAATAAATTTTCATCTCGTATTCAGAAAGCGGGTTAGTGCCAAAAAGGCTCTCTAGTACATGTATAAAAAATTGACTAAAATGTGCACTTGCTCGTCAAATTCATTTCACGAGTCTTTGTTATCTGATTATCAGACAGTATTAGGAAATGTCAACAATAACAGTAGTAACAATAAGATGATAATAATTGTGATTGTAATTACAAGTATAATTATACGAATAATGATGATGACGATAACGATAATAATCATAGTAATAATAAGCATAGTAATAATCATAGTAATAATAATCATAATACAACAGCTTGTCTAACGCTCGAAATTCTTCCGTCGTTGACAATTATTAGTTTAGAATATACGTCACACAAGTATAATTTACATGTTATACACATATGCATCAACGTATTACATCTTTGTAAACTTAAATTTTTCATTAAAACGAAAGTCTTGCTAAAACATTGCTAACCAATAGAACCAATAGACTTTTTATACAGTATACAATCTTACATAGAGTGGCTATAAATAAAGGCTTTTATTTTTCAACCACCTTTTATTACGACAAAAAGACCTCAGATGATCTGCGACATTTACAAGAAACCGGAATTGTCAGGTTTTGAGAATAAGCCCTTTATCTATTTTTAGCAAGCACACTTTTATTTGTACGATCCAAGTGTTTTATTTTATTCATTATTTAATTTTGATTTATTATTTATTTGCTGAATATATATTTAAATTTTACCATTCGATGAGAGTAACTTGTTCCAGTTTATTAAAAATAGCGTTATTATCATACCGAGAAAACGTCGTTTCATTGGCCCCTTTTAAAACTCTTGGCTATTTTGCACATTATTTCTACCTGCTTGCCATATACTTTTGAAACGGCTTGTAATGCGAGGCTGATCGTACAGACTTTGGCAACAAATATGTTATTCGCAGACAAAACTTCTTTCCGACTATTTTGGTTTACGAAATAGGCATGGAATAACATAATTAGTAACAAGACCCATGACGATCACTAAACCAAATGTCATACAGAAAATTCTTGTTGAAGAATGGGGATTGGGGGAATGGGAAGAATGGTAAGAATGGTGAAAAGGGGACCCCTGCGTGTAATAATAGACTTGCTCAGAGTTCCACACGCACCTTAAACGAAAAAATCACAGAGTTTTGGGATTTCATCGGTGTTGCCGCAAATGGGAATAACTAATGCTTGTGTTTCGAGCTACTATGCAAAGAGACTTTGAACAAAGTACTTTTTATTTTTACTTTTTGCGTCCTCATCTGCATGAACACTACAGAAAAAAACTTACGAGTTATCTTGTAGACATATATTAGAATGGACTATAAGGAAAGGTGGGAAAAGTGGCCATGTGAAAAAGCAGTTTATCAAGCAAAGCCTTTTGGTTAATCAGAGTCTCTTTTATTTTTTCGTCTCTCTCTCTCCCTCTCCCTTCCTCCCTCCGTCTCCCTCCGTCTCCCCCCTCTGTCCCCCCCCCCTCTCTCTCTTTCCCTCTTGGCATTTTCAAGACTTGCACAATTCGAAAGTATACTAAGCACTGAAAACATAAACAAGGATCCGATAATAGATTTATACAAGTTTCGTCATTTATGCTTTCGTGGTAAGAATACTGTATACATTTCCCGAGTATGGGCGAAACGCAATTAGAAAAAGAGCATTGCATTACCGTTGAAAATGAAAAACTTGGATATTCTATTAAAACATTATCGATCGTTAAATGAATCAGGCATCCCTGACACACCCGGTATTAGACAAAAGAGCTGGAAGGTAAGAAGAAAAACCAAAAAGCATCTTTTTTTTTACCACTTGTCTGATTCTGTCTCGTGATGCATTACTTGATTTATTCTCATTTGACAAATGACATTAGGTATTGCTAGGATATTTACCTACCGATAAAAGAAAATGGGCGCAAGTTCTTGCTGAACAACGAGCAACATATTATGTAAGTGGATGTGTGTATCTTGTATTTGTATGAGTAGTTAGTGTATATGATATATTTATAAGGGGATATTCTATAAACATTGCATTCGCATCAGCCGTTTATATAAAATATGTATTAATATTAAATATTAATTAACTGTTTTGTTGCTTCAATCGGATTGAACAGAGCTTCGTGCGTGATTTGCTGGCGGATCCATACGAAGAATATGGCTCTTCAGGACAAGACGATCATGTAAATACTCCAAAAGTATATTTCCAGTTTATCAAGTCGCCAAATCAACCAATTTCGAGTCTCTTGTGGAATTTAAAATTTTCCCTTCTACCCTTGTCTCCCCTCTCTCCTTACACACACACACTCTCTCTTTTCATACTAGCCACTGAATTCCGCACCCAATTCAAAATGGGCAGAATATTTTGCTGATAATATAATTCTTGAACAAATCGACAAAGACGTACGACGAACTCTCCCGGATATTGCCTTTTTCCAATCACCCGTGCCTCAAAGTCCGCTGAGTCCGTTGAGTCCTAGACTCGGTCCATTAGCGCTGAGCAGATTGAACGGTGCACGGTCACCTTCTATATTCGATGCATTGGATTCGGTTAATGATGATGTCAGTAGTGTGGTTAGCCGAGACAGCGACACGGTCGTTGGGTTTAATGGTCTGAGTACCGATGGGATTGGTGCGGTAACAGCAGCTACAACAACTGCTGCCACTGCCGCCGCCGCCGCTGCCGCATTGGGAATGACGCACAGCAATGGTACATCGTCCTCGTTAACCTCGGAAACCACGGCGACAAGTGAAATTCGTTCGGTGCCTTCTACACCTTGTCGACCAACGCCAATTGACGTTGATGCTGCTTTGGCCGTCCCGGTGATGCCTATTCCCACTCGCAGGTCTATATTCAAGCGGGTTCAGCATCTAAATAAAGATTTCAGTACGCGAGACAAACGCCCTGGATCGCCGGTACTTGGAAATGGTGCATGTGATGATGACGATATCGTTGATCTGCATTGGGAGGCTATCGAGCGGATACTGTTTATCTATGCCAAGTTGAATCCTGGAATCGGGTACGTTCAAGGAATGAACGAAATTCTAGGGCCTATCTATTATACGATGGCAAACGATGATGATGAAGAAGGAAAAGGTTGGCCTAATTTTCAAACACCTGTTGTTCATTACTTTACGCAAACATTAGTCGACTCATGTAGCGTGCATACTTTACATATCAATTTAATTTAGAGCTAACATATTCTTTCAACAGCGCATGCTGAAGCAGATGCCTTTTTTGTGTTTACTCTCCTGATGGCTGACATTAGAGATCATTTTGTCAGAACTCTTGATTCTGATGATCTTAATGGCATAGGTGCTACAATGTCAAAACTCAGCAAGAGGCTGAAGCTACATGCGCGTGAGCAATGGGAAGATATGGTATGCGAATGAAATGAAACTAGAGAAAATTGGGGTAGTGAATAACACCACCCCCCCCCCCCCCCCCCCCCCCCCCCACCCCGCCCACACATAATAAATATTTCCGCTCCCCACCCTACACCCCCACGCAAAAAAAAGAAAAAAAAAAAACACCCCCCCCCCTCCACCCCCTTTGTT